AGCACTGTCTGGCGCGTCTGCCTCCGCGACCCGAAAGGAGAAGCGGCGATGGAAGATGATGATGATGATGTATTTATGCGTGCGATTATGGAATAACTGAGTGGTTATGCAATGCTTTACTTCAATGACGGTACGGTTGCGATCTGTATCTGAAATATGAATCTTATTCCTTCTTATAAAAATGTCTGTTAAAAGGGTTTAATTTTGAATATTTCTACTGTCCGTCTCCTTATTGCTCTTTTGACAGATCTGGATATGCCAGATAACGAGTCCACTGTGTTCAGTACCCTCAGCTATTCGGTAGACCAGAGTTGTGGTGTAGAGTCCGGTCGTGAAGGATCGCTTTATCCATCGACCAGTACAACCATTAAAGGTTCGTACGAGCAGTTGCAGTTCGAAAGCAACCTTTGGATTGAGCTGGCTGAAATTTTTCTCGAACTCGGCAAGGTATCCGAGGTGCAGCACTGTATTAACGAGGCCTGCACTCTGTACCCTCAGTTCTACCAGGCGATGTACTTGAAAGGCCGGGTGTTTCATTGCCTTGGTCGCCTCAGCGAGGCGAAGTCTTGCTACTTTGCCGCGATCGGCATTTCGCCGTACCACATTCCCTCGCTCTGCTATCTGGTCATGGCCTACGAAGCGGAAGGCAATCGCACGATGGCTGAGCAGGTACTGAAGGATATGGTGAAAATCGATTCGATGAACTACCACACATGGCTTGCGTTCGGCAAATTGCTGATCAATCAGAAAAAATTCTCGGAAGCGGCGGAATGTTACGAAAAAGCGTTGGCTTTGGAGAAAACCACCCCGTTGCTGCCTTTTTCCGTTATTCCTCGTTCCATACGCTTCTTTGTCGGTTAGATGGCTGTGATACTGTTTAAGTAAAATTTTTATTCATATCTTTGTAATTTCTGTAAACATATTAATTGCAAACGTAGTTTCTGATCTTTTGCAGAAAAATAATATCATTTCTTCAGAACTATTTTAATTTGACAGCATTAAGCGTACATAATGAGGAGACAAGTCATTGACATCTGTTTGTATAGATCGGTAGATGAATGGCGGCAAAAAAAGAAACCTCGGCTGGACTTAAGCATTTCCAGACCGCACATCTTTTGTTCTAGTCTCCTGTTGAAGTCAGATCACGACTACATCAATATTTGAGTACCTGTAGTGCCAGATGCGTTTCGCATTTTTTTCCACTACAGCCACATCGCGTTCATTGTGAACGATGTTTAGGAGGTGGTACCTTTGACATGCTACCTCATATGACCATCAAAATATACTCGTACACCTGAGTATTTCAGATAACGCGTAACACCTCCAAGACCAGATTTTTTTGGACTATGACTTATAAATATACTAATTAGGTTTAGCTAATGTCGCAGTTCATAGAAATAGCCCCATCCATCGACCAAGCCAGATTCAGAGAGGCGTTGAACTCAATTCGACTTTTACTTTGACCTATGAAACGAGCTCTGATTCCTTAAAGCAATGGCTACAGCGAAGACACTGAACTGGAGAAAAGGAATTGTATATCTGTCCACGTACAGAAACCGTAAGGATTGCTCCAATTATAGGGTATCCATTATCTTAGTGAATTTCCGGAGAAAGGTCTAAGGAAATGAAGTGGACTGGAAACTTGTATTCCTAATTTCAGAACGAGATCAGATATGCACGGGAAACAAGCTAGCAACAACCTAACAAATTCATTATATTGATCATATTTATCAATGATTTATAGAGGTCGTTTGAAAATTTTATGTACCATCTATTGTACTTTTTGTCTTTGTTTTACCATACTTTGACTGGAAGTTGATTACGCGGATTTTTACTTAGTCCGTTGTTACACGTGTTCTACTTGATCAACACCCTCGCTTTCAGGTAATTATTACTAAAGCCTGTTAATGCCGTTTCGTTAACAGAATCAACATGTCTAGTTCATATATGAATAGTAAGTTTTATTTTCGATAAGCACTCCGTTTTGAAAATTTAAATTTTGTTTCACAGTAAATAACAGCCAAGCGCATTGAACTTCCCTTGAATACGAGTCATAGATGAACCTGTTTCCAGAGCTGCTAAAGCAATTCTACCAGCCAGTGGCTGATTTTAACAAACTTAATGGCAAGGCAAACAGAATCGTTCGTATCTGGAGATTGTTGTCTGATTTGTTTCTTGTCCATGAAGGTAAACACGTGATTGACGAGAGCCAACAAGTAGACAATCGAATCGATCACAGACAACGGTTTTTGAAACACTGGCGGGATGCCAATTGATCGTTAATCAAAGAGATTTATGAGCTAATCAGTGAGCCTTCTAATGATCTTCATTGTTTCGCTAAGATTGCTTTGCGAACGCCATATATAACTGAAGAATGGGGCAGATCTATTCTTTGTTCAGTAAATTACAAGCCTCCTAAGATCTTGAAAAGCTTCATGTTAATCAGAAATACTCTCAAGGTGCGGAGTCAATCTTCGATTAATTAATCCACCAATAAAGCTGATGATGCGGAAAGAGCCTGCCATTCACACATATATTTGTATTTGAATGAACGACCAAATATTTTACTGACTGAATACCGGTGAAACTTGCTATACGAGCGCAGAAAAAGCAAGACAGAATTTTAACATCATGCAATGCAATCACCAAGCGACATCTGAAAGAAAAAAAATCAACAAGAGCAAAAAATATTATAAAAAACCTTCATAAGAAGCCTTCATCTTCATCTTCCATGATCGATTTTCCTTTCGGGTCGTGAAGGCAGACGCGTCACAATGCTTCCAACGTTCCTGATCCTGCCAGAGTCCAAGCTTCGGCAGAAAGCAACTGGATTCTCGAACAGACTCCTTCCATATATTTGCACCAGGTTAATCTTGGCCGCCCCTGGGCCTTTTGCCGGTCGGATTTGCAAGGAACAGTTGCTTAGCCTTTCTTTCTGGAGGCAATCGCAACACATGCCCAAGCCATCGCAGCTGTGACTTCTCAATCTCGAGAACCAAAGGCTGTAATCCAAGGCTCTTCCGGATGTCACTATTCCGGACCATGTCGAGACGCGTAAGGCCAGCG